CTGTTTAACCACGGACGGGAGGTTAGCTTGAGGCGTGAATGGCGAGGTAACCACATTGTGCTAGCCTCATCCAATACCCGAGGGATGCTGGGAAAAAGAGATGAGCTGGAGAGCTGGGTTTTATCCCACAATCCCGATCTTTTTGCAATCACTGAGACCTGGCTGACACCGGATGTCCGGAACTCCGAATTATCAATCCACGGATACACAGTGTTTCGAACGAATCGATTATCCTCATGTCGCGATGGTGGAATTGTCCGGAGGTTACGCCCATCCGGAAGGATTTGGAGAAGCCCTGTGGTGCAGAATCAAAGTTCGCGCCGGACAGTATACCGCATTTGGAGTGATTTACTGCACACCAGCTGGGTACGTCCCAGAGCTGCTGGCCAGCATACAGAGGTACGCATGCGATGGACATTGTCTTGTCTTTGGTTATTTCAACGCGCCCCCTGTTGATTGGAAAACCGAAATCTGCTCTCAGCATGCAGATTTGTTCTCCAGAGAACTTCTTTTCGCTCTCCGGGCCCTGTCGCTTGCTCAGTATGTTCATGTGCCTACGCGGATAGTTGGGGACCAAAGATCCATCCTTGACCTGGTATTTTCGCCGAGGCACTCAGATGCGACTAGGACTGATCTCCTTCCACCAATTGTATCTTGTGATCACTCCATTCTACGTATACACTGGAGGCGTGGCGTACCCCAAACGGACAGACCACGGGACGGACGGAATGTGTGGCGCTCATTCGTTCCGGATATGCGTCAGGCTGCATTGCTCACAAATTGAGATTCCCGCAACCCTGAGGATGTGGATGTATCCTGGGAGTTGGTTCGTTATAGAACCCAGCAACTCGTACTGGAATTCTCTCCACCTCATCGCCACCGAACACACGCTATGGGCCCGCCGTGGTTTGACCGAGAACAGCGGGCGTGCCTCCGGCAGCGGAATAAAGCCTGGTCCAGGTACCGTGCAACAGGCGCAGAATATGAGGAATATCGATGTTTTCGAAAGCATTGTACTGCACTAAAAAATACAAGAGAACCAGATTCGAGGAACGACGACTAGCAGCGGATTCAGTACAAGCACCAAAGCGATTGTATGCCTACCTCAGACGAAGAATCAGAGCAACACCGACTCTCGCACTAGCCGAAAAAGATGAGGACAAAGCGGAGATGCTGGCATCACATTATGCCTTAGTGTACACCCCAGCATCCAGTGCACTGGCACATCTACTGGACACTGACACTGCTCTGAAATGGGCCGCATTTACCATCGGAGAGGTGGCCAGCCTCCAGCACACCTGGACCTGATGATGTGCATCCGCTGATCCTGAAGAATCTGGCAGATTAACTTGCAGCGCCACTGTGCAACCTGTTCAATTTGTCATAAGAATGACAAGGGCGTTTACCGCGGCAGTGGAAGGACGCTGTTATTGTTCCACTGCACAAAGTTGGGGACAGGGGTGACCCTGGGAACTACCGACCAGTCAGCCTTACTAGCGTTGTGGGTAAAGTAATGGAGCGACTGGTGGCTGCAGCTGCTTCGGCAGCATTTGCTGTGCCACAGTCACCTGTGTCACCAACAAAACGGTTTCTGGCCGGGTCGCTCATGTCTCTCAAACCTGCTATTTGCACGTGAATGCTGGACCGAAGACAAGGCCAAAGGACACAAAACGGACATCATCTTCGTGGACTTCAGCAAGGTCTTCGACAAGGTGCGGTACGACCTCCTACTGCGAAAGCTGTCCAACCCAGATGTAGGTGTGCTAATGCGGAATTGACTGCGAGACTTCCTCATCGATCGGAAATTCTGCGTCCGTGTTGGCAAATTGCTCTCTGCTTAGCATTCCGCTCCCAGTGGGGACCCCAAGGCTCGGTTCTTGGTTCATTGCTCTTCGTGGAATATTTGAACTATCTGCCTGGTCAAATATGCAGCCCATCCCTCTTGTATGCGGATGACATTAAAATCTGGCGTACAATCAAGGATCCGAATGATCGAAGTTCTCTTCAGGCGGATCTGAAAAACCTGGATCAGAGGGCGGACACTTGGGCTCTTCTAGTCAACAAAGCAAAGTGTGCTTACCTGCACTTGAGGCGAACTGACTCATAAGTAGTCTACAACTTCCTGGGAGCCCAATTGCGCATAACATCTTGCGAACGAGACCTGGATTTTATGGTTACGTCATCACTAAAGACCCGAGAAAACATCGATCGGTCTGTGCTTGCGCATGGATCATTCTGGGGCCTATTCGGCGGTCTTTCAACCAGCTGACGATAGACGCTTTCAGACTGCTGTACGTTTCCCATGTCAGACCAAGACTTGAGTATGGTGGCGAGGCGACATACCCCTTTATGGCCGGTTAACTGGCTAAGTTGGAGCGTGTACAACGTGTTGCCACTAGACTCGTTGCTGGACTACGCGGGAACAACTATGGTCGTCTACAGGCTACTGGTCTGTTCCCAATTGCATATCGACGCCTCAGTGGAGATCTCATCTGCTTGAGGAATATACTGAGAGGTGATATGAGCCCGGAGCTGCAACAGTACTCCCTTTGCGGACAGAGCACCGCACGCGGGGGCACTCTCTCACGTTGCGGAAACCTCAGTCAGTTGGTCCTCCTTTAGTCTACCGACTCTCGCGTAGGTCAACGACACTCTGGAATTCCCTTTCAGCTATTGTGGTGGAAGAGAAG